ATGGGCATTTTTCTGACCCAGATTTTGGGAGTTGGGATTTGGGGAGAATTTTGCCATTAGTTTCAGTGGCTCTGGATCAGGCCCAACTAGACAAGGAGCCTGAACTTCCCAAGAGCCAGGGTGAAACCTCTTGGGTCAGGGACAGTGTATACCACAAAACATTGCAATGCTTCTCTCTGTATTCTGGGTACAACCTCAGTGTTTTTTAACTTGGCTCTGATGTTCATTTTAAACATGTTCATAATTGCTGGAAATTCATTTTCTTATGGTTTACTCATGGTTAACAAAGCTCTGAATAGCTGGAGAGACAAGTATAATGAAATAGTCCTTTTTCATGGACACATTTTAATATACATTGACAGCAAAACCATTACAGTATTCCATGCACGGAAACCAGAAGGTAGAACAAGAAACATAACTTTCTGATTTGTGAGTGGAACTGTATCTTCTTTGAAATGGTGTCACTTCTAATGCTTTAATTTGAAACTGAAGGCAATATTTTAACAGAGCTTGCATAATCTCTCCATGTGTTTTTATGACGTGCCATTACGAGACTCTTCTGTGATGGCTAACTCCTCTAGCTGGAAATGGTGACTTACACACTTTTTTAAGAGTATCTCTTTGCTTCTATTGGGATTAATCAGGAGCTTTTCTGCACACCATAAAGTTCTGCCACATCCCTACACCTATTACAGAAGTTAACCACTTCACATACCACCACTGACAGTGTCCAAGTTATTAAAGTAAATAACTAATATGAAGCTGACATAACTGGCACTGTTGTGCTCAACTATTTTTTTCCAGATAAAATAGAGAAGAGAGGAAACAACCTGGAATGACAAGTAAGTAAATGACACCCAGAATTAAGTAGGTGACAAGTGAGAGCAGGTTCTCTTTCTCTCAGTGGGTGGCTGTGTGATTTTAAGCAAGTGTGCAGCATGCTTATATTGCTGTTTTCTGGTGCAAATAAAAACAGTGTGACAGTGTCCAGCACCTAGGAAAGGAATTGGGACCTTGTCCCTGCATAGCAGGCCCTCTTCCACAATAAATTTTACTTCCATTGTGACATTTTGAAGGTACTACATAGTAATGACACATTGCTCCAGTAATTTTTGTACAATGTCTCTATGAGCTCTCCCCATCTGTCATGACAGCATTAGTCTTGGCATCTCTGATGAAAGAATCAAAATTAAAAGGGAGAACAAAAAGTCAATTTCTAATGGGTTCCAAATACCCATATCTTACAAGCGTGAATTAAATATTGCTCTCATCTTGCAGCCTTCCAGCCATATTATGTAGATAAAAACCTCAAAACTATTTAAAATCAAAAATCCTGTTAAAAGCTGAAATATATATAAAGTAAAATAACATTCAGCTGTTTGAAGTAACCTGTTGATAGGCTGTCAGCTGTCATTTGATTTGCACTTCATTTGAATTAATAAAAAGTAAACCATAAGCATCATGATTTACAGTAATATAAAAGCTATTACAAAGGACCTTCATCATAAGCTCCTTTGTCATAAAGCTACTGTATCTTACTTTCAATCACTAAACACAGTTAAAAACATTTCCTAATACAATACTGCCTGATGCAATACACAAATTCATTTGCTTTGAAGACTTATCTATACAGACCTGACTTTGAACCTTTAGAGACAACTTGTAAGTTTCTTACATAAATAGTGTAAAGAAGTATTTTCACACTGGTGTTCTTCAGCTTTTCTTAAGGTCACACACAGGCACACACAACCCAGCTCAGATTCACCCAGAGATTTCACAGTGTCTTTATGCTTCCTTCTGTATTTTAAATAACATTTGGACAAGTAGCATCTAGTTTCTTCTTTGTTTTTAATCTTTCCTTGAGTGTTTTAGGTCATGGTTCACAGAGGGGTCTTTAGGTGTCTTTAATTTAAATGAACTCATTTTGACTTTAGATGGCAGCAGAAAAAGGAAGATATTTTCTCAGCACTACAAAACAAAGCTGTGCTCAATATGTACTGGTCCCAGTAAGAAGGCCTGCTCCACGTTTAAATATATTCTCTTGTGTTTCATGACCCACTAGGGAAAGAAATTCCTAGTGAGGTGCTTACTGTTAACTGGACGAGATCAGTGCAGTTTATTTATACCTGGAAACGCAGAAAAATGTCTACATTTGACAACAGTGCAAACAAGAGGTTGGACTTGTTGTTCTCCTGAGGTCCAACACCCCCCATACTCCTCTTCTCCCCTTTCCCCCCCAACTTGAGGTATCCTATGAACTTATGATTCTATCTTTGCTTAATAGTACCATGGACCAATACAAGTTTGGCACTGTTAAACTGAAGAAAGCAATATCCAAACCATCTGGGATGCATTTTGGTCTGGCAATAAAAGGTGGCTTCTCCAGGGTTAGCATGGGATCCTGCCTCAAGGTCATGCTGGTGCTCTTTCGCATGCCAAATGTAGCAGTGATGAGTTGGCCCTTCACTGCTGGAGGGCACTGTGATTCCTCTGGGAGGAACTCATGACCTATATCCACCACCACCGAGAAATACCGGACCCACATTTGGCCTCCAGGAATTTAGCCATGCACATAGCTCTCCAGGTAGTGGCTGAGCTCCTGTGTTACAGGGTACATCAGATTTATTTATGTAAAATGAAGTGGAATTGTGATGTGACTGCAAAACATAAAAATAAAAATGCAGTGGTGGGCTGACACTGTGGAGCACCTTGCTGTCTTGCCTGCGAGACAGTGAGTTTGCTTCCCCTTGGTTTGGCGTTCCCCAAAGCCTCCTGCTTCTTTTCTCGTCTGTCCTCACGAGTCAGAGCCTGTCACATCGCAAAACTGATATAGCTGGGTATGCTACTTCGGGATTTCAGCAGATCCTGTATTTGGAGTAGTTTGAAAAGTGTCTAGTGGCTTCGTCACATGATTTCTCTGTAGTGTGAGACCAGCCGGCAAAGAGCCGTGTGAGCTCACATGTTTAGATGGCTTAGTTTGTGCACGCAGATAACGTGAATATCTGCTTGGCAGTGCTGTGCGGCAACTGAACATTCCTGACGCTGCCTCTTTTCATCCTTCTGCTCCCCCTTCCTCAACAGCAGAATCAGCAGCTGTAACAACACATGGAGGACACTTGGCAGCTGCAAGACACAGATGCTGAGCCCCGTAATAAACTTCTCCTGTAGAAGAATCTGAGTGCTTTTGCTGGCTGCTTAAAAGTCCTTATTGCTCTCTGACTCACTTGCTCGACAAGCGGTTACAGTGTGCTGATGGCTGTGGGTAATCACTCTTGGGGTTATAAGGGCCGATCTAATTGACCCGCTTAGTCCTTTAGGATGCTGCCATAGCCCAGCTTTAATAATCTGCAAGTGAATTGCATGCTTTCATAGTAGATATTTAAGAATAAGGTATTGTGCAATGTTTTAGTGGGCCATTGTTTTTATATCTAGAGATAGGCAATAGGCCTGGTTTTGATCACAAGTCACAACAGGGCAAACCAGAAATAACCTCACCGTTGTTAAAGGGGTATAAGCTGTTATAAAACAAATGCGAGGGAGGCCAGGGGTGAAGGAGAGCTTCAAATTAAGTCTGCATTGCCTGGTAAGGAAATTGCATATCTTTAATATCTCAGAAACCAGTATTTGTCGGAATTGGCCTGTGATAAGGATGTGGGCTCAGGGCAGCAGGCTAGTGTTGGGATGGTAGGAGGGCTCATTTCAGAAAAGCCTCGCAGAAGTGTGTTTTAAGGAGGCATTTGAATTTGCAGGGAACGGCCAACTTGGAAGGTTGTCCTGGAGTCTAAAGAGCACTGGGAAAGAAACCAGAGACAGACGCTTGTGGAGATAAAGGCAGGAACTGGGCAGCAAGTCTGGTACACAGCCAAAACAGAAAGGAGGGATGCTAGAAAGAGATGGTTGGAGATGCAAGCAAGAGAAGAGCTCTGAACAAAGGGACCAACAGATTAACCTAGATGCTGATGGAAAATGAGTGAAGAGTGATGTGGGGGAATGATGGGTCAGCAATAGAGGGAATGACATCTTTGGGAAAACACCTTTCCACCTCTAAGGAAAACTGAAGTCATAGCTGTGATAAAGATATGGCACCAGAGGGAGTGGGAAGTGACAGGCATAGAGAAAGGTACGTGTTGATATGGACAGGAGGGACCACAAAGCAGGGCTCATAGGGCCCCGGCACAAGCGCATGTATACAAGTGAGGAAGTGCTGAGAGGACTGAAAGGTGGGGCAAGCTCTCACATTGCTTCTGTGAAATCTCTGTGACTTGGGGGGTGGCTCTCTGAAGCACCTGTGTACTGAGACACACAGAGCAGCGTAGGGAACAAACAGGAGGAACTGGAGGTGTGCATGTGTGTCGTTACAGGCCTGAGGCATCATCAGCATCACAGAACGTGGTGGGATAGCTGGCAGGACTGAAATGCTGCCTTGGGTGGATACAGGCCCTCAAGGAAGGACAGAGGTCAAAAAGGGGGAGTTGCCCTATATGTGAGAGAACAGCAGGGAGGCACTGAGCTCTGCCCAGCTGAGAACTATTGGGTCAGGATTAGAAGGCAGGCCACCACAGGAAACATAAAAGTTGGGGCAGCCATGGCTGATTTGACATGGCTCCCAAAGGGCATGTTCCCATAGTGTATGAGATGCAGTTACATAGCAGGGAAGAGTCCTAAGAGTGGACAAGGGCACCAGCATAAAAGAGGTGGATGCTTCATCTCAGCCAGCACTGGTGTCACCTTGGTGAGAATGCTACCTCTTAATCTGTGCCTGAGGAGAAGACTTTCGTTTCCACTTCAGTTAGTCCTGTCTCCTTTGTAAGACTGACATTCACACAAACATTTTTAACTGCAAAAGGACAGCCCTGTTTCTGCTTCGCACAGGAGATGTTTTCCTGTGACCCCTTTGCGTCCTTGTGTTCTAGCATTTAAAGACAAACAGCTGTCCCAGGCTTCAGCTGGAGGAGGAAAAGGAAGACACCATCAAGCACAAATGTTAGTAAGTCACTTTTCCTCTCATTGTCTGGTATATCTAGGATCATTTCTAGCCCTGGAAACAATTGTCTCTCTGATGCCCTTACATTTGATTTTATTCACTGGTATTGAACATCAGCATTTCAAAATGCCTTCTTGAAGTGTGAGTCTTGTTTCTCTTGATTTAAACTGGAAACGGATCTGCTTCTTTGATGGATGCTTGGTAAGTGTTTTGGAGAATAGCTATTAAGACTGAGTTTCATTTTATGTAACAATTGGTAGTCTGTAATTTTCTGATGTTCAAGGATTCTGGATCTAAGTAGACATCTAAAATTAACATATTACAAAAAAGTCTAGAATTCCTCTAAATAAACCACAGATTAGGAACATGCAATACTAACCTTCAAATAATAGGATTTAAATACCTGTTTCAGTAGCGCATTCATGCTGCTTTGCTTGCTTGAAAACATGTGAAGTATTTATTTTTAATTCATATTATCTCATTATTGCAGGTTTCCTTTACAGTGTGGCTCAATTCAAGCATTAAAAAAAGCTAGTGATTTTTATCTGTTTTAGATTTTCCAGTAGTGATTGGTCACACATATAGTCCTAGGTAGAACTGATGTAGCTATCTATTTTTGTTTTATTTCTTTCATCACACTGGTAGTCCAATGGTAGGTATTGTGACAGTTGTCTCTGAGATGCATGTAAAAATATACATTTAAAAAGGAGCCAAAGACTATTGTAACTAAGCTGTTTTGTTATGAATCTGAAGGTGACTATCAAGAACTTCTTACTTACATAACGAGTGACAGCTTTTCAACACAAGTAGTCCCAATCTTAAATACAGCAAGACGCATTTTTAACTATGTGAATAATACCACTGAGGTGTCAGTGACCAGCGCTACTCCCAGCATCAAGATACTCACAGGAACAACATCAAAGGCTGTAGGAAAGGAATTTTAGGAGTCCAGAGGATTTGTTCACCAAAATCAGGTGCTGTGAATATCCTTCCTTTAACTGGTAGTGTAATGCAGGCTTCAAGCACTCCTCTGTTATTCCTGTCCTTTCCTCTGCTCAGGGGCAGCCCTGTGGGTCATGGGCTCAGATCATTTTGGGGTGCAAGGTAACTCCCCCTTTTTGAGGGACTGGTGGCTCTCCAGTCCTGCTGGGCACTCAGACTGCTTGTCCTTTTCAGCAGGGACCTGGGTGCAGCCTGGGAAGGTACCAGGACCTGAAGGAATATTCTGTACCCTTCAGCTTAGATGCAGCCTTAGGATTTCTTCTGTGAGTTGAGCGTCTAGATTGCACTGCATGAATAAAAACAGATGAGTCATCCACGTGCAGGGAAAATTAATGTAACCCTCCATGGGTTGAAGGTGTAACAACCTTTAGGTCTCATCTTTATTGCTTCTGATCATACAGAGAAGTAAATAAATGAAAAAGAGGAGTTAGCAGTTTTTCAGCAAGGAGAAGAGTAACAGGACAGTGACAGAAACCAAACATGAGGCAGCACCAGCAAAGGAAAACTACATAGCAAGTCACAAAAGAGGCTGGTGGTCTATACAGAGAGACAGGGCTGATGAAAGGGTGGTGGTGGATTTGACAATAATGAAGGGAAGCTGTTTGATCCCTTGTAGCTCCTGGGTCAGTAGCAGTTGCACCTGCAGTACCCATAGGCTCTCTGTCTTCTGGCCAAGGCAGTGGCTGTCAGTGTCTGCTGCTGTGCAAATGTGGGCTGCCCTTCTCCTGTTTATCACCACGTGAATCCAACATCTGGACTCCAGAGATACCTTATTAACGCTAAACAACCTTGATTCAATTATGCTACAAGATGCACACAAGATGGGATCTTTTGCACAGTCCTGGACTATGAAGGCCTCATAACACTGGGGTGATGGGGTGGAGAGCGCAGAAACTCAGTTATTCTCTTGTTTCCCAAGTTGCTTCATAATAACACATAAAGGGAGTGGAGGCTGGAGAGTTTGTAGAGCCTAAAGCTTCAGCTAATTTGAAGAAGTACATACTTTTAAGATGTTCAATCCCATTTGCTCCACAAACACTACGTCTGCATAGGCAAAAATAAATCAAGGCGTGATTTTCAGGCCTGGAGTTTGAAAGTCAGCACTTGGCTACGTGGCCAGAGCCACTCGGCCCTGCATCTGCAGCTCCTGCTGCTTGAAAACTCACTTTTCTTTCCTGCCATTAGAAAACAGACCAGTAAAAACACCAGCAGTGAGGCTTTTGCGAGGAGCAGGGGTGCGAAGTGCGCTGTCTGGGCCAAATTCCACACCAGATAATTCCATTGAGGCGATGGCTTCGGCTGGGCACCGTTATCTTCACTTCCCGTCTCATGCTGCCGTGCTGTGCTCCCAAGCAGCTGCTGATTTCCTCCTCCCCAAGCCTGGCTGCATGTCGTGGTGGGGCTACCACGTCGCCTCCCTGCTCTTTGCTTTGCTCACAGAAGTTGTATGGAAAGGAAGCAAAGGATGGAAAGTGCTTTGAATTCCTCTGATGAAATTCGCCTCTTCTAGCATGGTTATTTTTTGTGATTATGGAGCAAAGTCGTATTTTAAAAACTTTTCTGTTGTTTCTGCAGATCTGTCACCCATTTCCATGGATACGTGAGTGGTGTTAAGGCAGCCAGAAGCTGTCAATTCCAGCCGCTCTCTGGCTGCCCAGTGAGCAGTGAAAAGCTGCTGAAGTCATTAGTATTTTACACTTGAAAATACCACAATAGTTTGCACTTTTCTGGTACTCTTCGTCCGGGAATCCCCAGGTCCAGTAAATGAGCCGCTACTATAAAGCAATTAATTAGGCCTTGTAACAGCTTGGTGAATGGGTTAGGAAGATATAGAAGGTTGGGAGTGCTGCAGTGACCTGTCAAAGGCCACCCTGTAAGCTAGTGGCATGGGCAGGAAGGCATTCAGTTCACATGTTCTGGCTCCTAGCTCCCTGGGCTCCTCCCTGAATGTTTTAGGCATAGAGTACCTGCAGATCAGGTTAGGGAAAAATACCCATTTTTGTCTGTTTGATGACAAAGCTTCGCCCATTTTTTTATTTCTATTTTTATTTTTTTTTTGGCCCCAGAAAATCCAGCATATCTTTGATTTGGTGAGTTCCTGCTGCAGCGAGTGCCATCTGATAATAGAAGGGCTGTATTCCTGCAGGATATGGCATATGCTAACTGTTCATTGAATGGGTTTCCCTGTCCATCATGTTGAATTCTTCAGTCAAGTTCTTGCTAGTTCTTCTCTAAGGATAAGGCTGCTGCCACTATGACAGGGAGATTATTCCACAAAGATGAGAGATCATGTGTCATTATTATCTCTGAACATTGAGTTATTTTTTGGACATCTCCAAAAGAAATATCTCTTAGCTGCGGTTGAGGGAACAAAGATAGAAGTAAACAGAGGAAGGATTTTTCTAATGCAATGTTGTTACAGTATGCTCTGGTTTTGTACATTCTATTTTTCAGTATAGTCACCTTATTTTTCATCCTTTAACCTCTGCATTGAAAGATGACACATGTTTAGTAATGAGTCTCTCATTCTGGCACCCTTACATAAGCCACTGAAATAAACAGATCTTTGCATGTTAAAGAACTGCTCAGAGAAATCAAGGTAGGTTGAACTGGGCCCATCACAATTTACCTTCTTTGAATCCTTATTTTCTGTTCCTAACAGACCTCACATGCGAGTGACTGAGTGTATGTGGAAAGAATTGGAGAGTTTTGATAATATACACTGCTCAAGTAATCCTTAACCAGACACTTTTCCATCAGGCTTCTAGATTTACCAGCAATATAAATCTAGAATTCTTCATAGTCTCTCATAATTATTATTACCAAAAGTCAATCCCTGCAAGTGCTTTGTTACTCATACACACAACTCACCTAGGTTCAGTGGTTTTATCTGTGTAAGTAAAACTTACAGAACCAGGCCCAGAAAATTACGATGGCATCAACCAAGAATCCCCAATCCCTCCATGCTGTCTCATGAGAGTTATTCACATCCATAGTCAATAAAACTGTTCCCAACACAGATACCCCTGGTACCCTACCATTAATCTCTTTCCATTCTCAGGAGCTCCTTATTATGACCCTTTGTTTTCTTTCTCTTAACCTATTTCTAATCCTTGAAAAGACTTCATCCTATGATTAATTATTTCCCTTATTAGTATTTTATGATGGACCTCATCAAGAGCATTTTGAAAATTCAAGTAAATCGTTATCTTGCAGGTCATCACTAGTTTGCTAACTTTTTCCAGAAATAAAGTGTGCTTTTCAACATTACAAAATGGCTTGGGGAAGGCACAAAAGAAATTCAGATGTATTTTGACAGCTACTGTAGTGGCTTAGCAGAGCTGTGCTTGGATTAGCACTGTTCTTCTGTCTGTACTTAAGAACTCTAATTCATTTCCTGGCATTTCTCTCTCTTCAGGTCAACCACTAGTTCAAGGTGGAAGTGATAAGTTTGCAGCATCTCAAGTGTGCTGGTGTTAGCTCTTGGGAAGTTGAGAGGAAGGAAATAACAGTCCATAAAGTTTTGATTGCTTGGAAAAGAAGAGATGTTTGTTGAAAGTATGAGCAAGGCCAGCTGCAAAGAGTTCAGGAGTGAGCAGAAGTAGTCCTGCACTAGCTGCTCACTCACTTCAGCTATTAATTGACAGCAAACATGCATATTGCAGACTGAAAAGAGGAAGGCTATTTTTCTCAGACCTGTTAGGGGACTATCTTACGTCGTCCACTTTTTAGTTAGCAGAGGGTTCACTTTAAAGATGGATAGAACAACATGATCCAGAATGGTGTGGCAGGGAAGGTTTTGGCAAAAATAGTGGCACTGAGGAAGTAAAATAAATGTGCCATGCTCTATTCCTCCCCCAATTTTAAAATATCAGCATTTTGCAAGCAATGGGCCATATGCTCCCAGGGCTTGCAAGCCAAAAAGTATAGCAACTTACTACAAAACCGCTCTCCAAATTCTACACACAAGCCAAAACCTCCTACTTGGTATGCTGCCGTCATGCCAACTTGCAGAACAGAGAATGGGCCTGAGCAAGGAGATGTGCAGAAGACCGGCAGAATGCGCACACACACACATGAAGGGGGATACAAGCTGGGACTGGACTCAGGACACTGGTCCCGCAAAGCCAGCATGGGGAAAGAAAGCAAGATAAATTGGAACTGGTAGCAAGCAACTTTCCAGATTGGAATGCCCCCTT